CCTCTTTCTGAGATATCAGTTCTCATTCTGCTCCCTTCACTTTGGGACTCCCCTCCTACCAGTTACTCAGCAGCAGCCTGGCGATGCAGGAGGGGACGGGGGAAGTGGAGAGGGAGCTTTGTTTATGAAAGCCCTGATAATTCGGTCATTGGCAGGTGTGGTGATGAGTTTGAGCAACACTGGGCTCTCGTTGTCCTCTCCACTTAGCAGTGTGAGAGTGCGCGGGGCTGCTGGGGCAGCAGTCGGCATGACGGGGGATTCTGGAGTGCTGGGAGGTCTTGGGTTTGGCGTGTTTTCCCTCTGGGCAGGAGGGGAGAGGACGCAGCGTGTGGGTTGTCCTCTGGGCCCCTTCTGAGCCCATCTTCCCCTGTCTTCCCCAGCCCCAGGATGAACACCTCAACAACTTCTGCCGACTGCTAGGTGTGGAACACAGTCAGATGGAGCACTGGCTGTGCCATCGCAAGCTCATCACCACCTCGGAGACCTATGTCAAGACCATGTCCCTGCAGCAGGTGGTCAACGCACGCAATGCCCTGGCCAAGCACATCTACGCCCAGCTCTTCAGCTGGATTGTGGAGCACATCAACAAAGCCCTGCACACCTCCCTCAAGCAGCACTCCTTCATCGGGGTCCTGGACATCTACGGGTAGGCCTGCCCCTGTCCTCCAACTTTTCATGCCACCCCTGATCATTAGTGTCTTCCCAAGGGCATTTAAGAGCCAACAAGGGCCTTGGCAGTCTTCCTGCTGGTTCTCAACCAGGAGAATTTAAAATTGGGGCTGAGGGGGCACGTTTTTGGTTGTCACAATGACTGGAGTCACTACTGGCCTGAGGCTAGGGATGCTAAGTGTCCTACAATATATAGGACAGTTGTAAGGAATAATGGACCTTGTCAAACACCAGGCTCACAGAGGGAACAAGGCAGCCAAGGCCCAGAGGAAAGTGACTTGCCCAACGTCATTCTGGAAGTTACTGTGAGGATAGAACTTAGATGCAGGTTTTGTGTCTTTTATGTTTTATTTCAGTCTACCATTCAACCTCATTGCCTGTATCATTAGTCAAGGTGATTATTTTAATACCATGACTTTGCCCAGTACTGTACAGATTTGTGAAATTTTCTTTTTCAAAATTCTAACTTAATTGAAAGGACTGTTACTTCTAAGAGCATATTTTCTGCCGGGATAGGCAGCGTGGCATGGCGGGAAGTGCATGTGACTGGTCATTGGGGGCTACCATTTGTACCAGTGCTGCCACCAGCCAGCTGAACGACTCCCTGCAGGTCACAGCCCCTTTCTGGTCTTCAGTTTCTGTAGCTTCAAATGAAGTTTTGAGCCCCAGTCTCTCTGAGATTCTTTCCAGATCCTTCTAGAATTGTTTGAAGTTATATGAACTGGATTGCAACCTCCCTTGCACTTTTCTGACCAATGTCCTACACTCAGTAAGCTAATAATAGAGTAAATTCTTCTAGATCTTTAAATCACAGAAGTCACGGCTTCTGTCCCAAAATAGAAATTCAGACCCACAGAAGGGCAGTGTAAGAACAGCATCGCTCTGCTGAACACAACTGCTTAGTGGGCTGAGACCCAGCTGGGACTTGCCTTATGATGAGGGTGGAGTAAAGGAGAACTCCCCATGCAGACACGGGCCCCAAGTTACAGCTTGGTGGTGTTGCTCATCACTGCCTTTCACACTGAACCGTGCTGCATGCTGTGCAGGAAGAAGAATGAAACTTGGTTTCTGGCATCACAAAGGCCTCAGGAACGTGCTAAAGAGTTTAGTTGCATGCACAAGTTAAGTAACACAGGAGGCATCAGAAGAAATTATAGAAGGGCCCATTTGAGGGTTCAGACAAGTTGTGCTGTGCAAGTTTCAGGGTTGGGGAGACATACTTGTTTGCACAGTCAGAGAAAGCTGTACTGGGGAGGTGAAATCTGAACTGGATTGTTTAAAGAGAGGGAGTAGAGTATGGGAAGTGGGGGAAGCACCTTTGGGAATGGGAGCATGATCAAGATGGGAGGAAAAAGCAGAGTGAAAGACAACCGCATCCTGGATGAGGAGCAGATGGTGGGGAGCCTCCCTGGAGAGGAGTGGGAGGGTATGTCGTCTCTGGGGCTCTTCAGGGTGTCAGCTGAGTGGCCAGGGCTGGCTACTCCTCCTTCTGGTCAGCCAGTGGCTGCTCCATGTTCAGCTCCTCTAGATGCTCTTGGGAGAGCATAGAACAGTCTGTATTCTCTGGGAACTTACTGCTTCATCATTAATTAATTCTGTGTTATTCTTCTCTCTACCTCAAGTGTTTTCAGGTAATTGGATTTCCCAAAATACTGACCATTAGGGGGTTACCTTCTGAAGTAAGAACTGGAGAAACCCAGGCTGCAGCAACTGACCCAATTCCCTTAATTGACCTGTACAAGAATCTAATTTTACTAAGGTTTTGATTTAGGAAGGTTAACATGCAGACTCATTATTGACAACAGCATGTAAAAATATTATGACTTCAGTACTACTGATATGTAAAATATCGTGCTTGAGTTCTGTTGTATTCATGTATTTTCTTAACAGTGCTTTGAATTTAAATAGACTGGTTCCTCCCTTCCCAGGGATCACCAGTGGAAGGTCTCTGCTTATTGATGGGAGGCCTCTGTGAGTTGGGCTCCTGGTGTTGCTGAGTCTGCAGATGTCAGCTAGGTTTCTACTGGAATTTTGTGCTTGTATTTGCTATTTAATTTTTGTAACTGAGCTTGTTTTCTCTAAGGTCCTGTGACTGCTCAAGGGGGAGAAATAGATTGCAGGGAAGCCTTGTCTTTGGTTTGAAAGGAACAGTTACCCATGGGTGGTGTGGCAATGTAGAAGACCCAGTCTCCTGTTTCCAGTGCCAACTTCTAACCTGTGTGTCTCCCTCATCTCAAAGTGGCACATGGGTGCCTTTGAAAACGTCTGACAGCTGCACAGTGAGAGCAGGGTTCCAGCACAGGGCCATGCAACACAGGCCCACGCAGCATGGGGCCACTTACAAGCCCTGGGGAGTTCTCCTACCCCTTGTGCTTCTTTCCAGGCATGCTGTGCTCTTTTCTTTTCTCTTAATCCTTGTTCTTTCTCAGAAGTTAATTTACTTTATTTCAAACTGTGTCATAAAACAGTCATATTTAAAAAGTGATTTAGTGTCCACCTGGAGAGAAATAAATGCCTAATCACAGTTACTCCTCTGTATCTGTGTTTAGTGCCATGTACACACCCTGAAGGCAGAGTTAAAGATAGCAAGTTAGATGCAAGGTAGATTCAGAATTAACAAGCTAGCTAGCTGTCTACCTGGGCTATTTGTTGCTAAGAAAGCACTTACAAACATTCCCTAAATGTGTACAGGTTGAGTACCCCTTATCTGAAATGCTTGAGACCAGGAGTGCTTTGGATTTTTCCAGATTTTGGAATGTTTGCATAACACTTACCAACTAAACATCCTTAATCCTGAATATGAAATGCATTTCCTTTCAGTGTGACCTTTGAGTGTTATGTTGGTGCTTAAAAAGTTTTGGATTTTAGAGCATTTCAGATCTTTGGATTAGGGATGCTCAACCTGTATATGCATGCTCCTCAACAATCTGCTCTGCCAAGAAATCATTGTATAAATGTGGACTGGTCGGGACTCTTTTCTGGTCAGAAGATATGCAGTGAACTCAGATTAAAATCAACAGTTTAACCACAGGAGAGCAGGTGGCTTGAGTCTGGAGGTACTGTTTCTAATCTATCAGGTTACTGACATCATTTCTTAATCTGGGAGAAAACCTGATAATGTGTGAGCCATTTACTGTCGTCTCCCCTTCTCCACTCTCCATTATCTCGCTTGTTCTTCAAGCCCAAGTTGGGGGGTGGGGAGTACCTTGCTACCCCTAGAGGAGTCCTTGGGCTGACCTGATGTGTGATTCTCTTACTTTTCCATGTCCTTGTGAGCAAAGGAGCAGCAAGTGTGGGAGTGGAGAGAATTGGAAGAATGATGGACAGTGTGTTTAAACACAGTCAACCCCATTCATTAAGAGGGAAGCAAGGAGGACTTGTCTCCCTGTCAGGTTAGAAATGCACAAAGCTAGGAAACGAGAGTGGATTGCTCTTCTTCCCCTCACCCCCCTCCCACACACACACTGGGCACTGATTTCTTCCACTGGGACAACTGTCCCCAGACGAACTGCAGCACCTGTCTAGGGCATTATTGGCCCACCAGTCAAGCTCATCCCAGAGACAGAGCTGAAAAAGTCCTGTACTGCCAATGAGCCCCTCTGTGTTTTTCTACAAATGTTTTAAGCGTTACTACAGAATAAGCACCCAGAATGAATAAACACTCACTTCTGTGTTTATGTAAGCAGGCAGTACCCGAGCTGACATCATACACACACACCTCTGCTTATCCTGATATTCTGATTGCTAGGTACCTCATGGAGCCAAAGAGGCTGTGAACTCCTAAACAGATTAGCATGGGCCACAGCTGCCTTCCTCACGACCATGGTGAGACCCTTCCCTCAGCCTCTCTGAATGGCACCAGTCACTATATCCTGATGTAAAGGTAGCTGCCCTGTCCCAACTCCACAAAAGTACAAAGCAAGCGATACCCAGAGCTATGTAGCCAACCCAAGCCAAGTGCTTCTCCTTAACTAAGGGTCTGTGAAGTTGCCTTTGGGATATTTCTTACCAGGCAGGGGATGGAAATTAATAGGGGAGAGCCTAACAGCTTTGGGCTGGGGTTTCCTTTTCATGTTACATTAACCAGCGTTGGCCCCTACAGGCTTGATTAATTACAATCTTTATCCTTTATCCCTCTCCCCTCCTTGAAGCAACAAAAAATAAATGGCTTGAATTTGGGAAAAATACACATTCATTTATCTTTGACATCAGCCTTGAAAATGCCAAGGTAGCAGGGAGCTTTGGCGGTGGCCAGCCTATTCTTGCTGAGGACCAGTTGGCCAGGGAGGGTTTTGGAGCAAGGCTGGGTTACGCTGAGGAACAGTGGGGGAGAGAATGGAGGCAGGAGGTAGGGAAGTTTTGACCCCAGGAAGCAGGAAATGGGATTTGCTGGAATTTTATGTTCTTCTCAGTCCTCCATGTTACTTTCTTGTGTTACTTCCTAATGCTAAATTAGCATCCAGCTCTATTCAGTGCTAGTGCTCTTTAAGATGCTGTTTTTAAAAATACTTAATTTTTTTAATTGTGAAAAACAAAATTTACCATCTTAATCATTTTTGAGTGCACGGTTCAGTACTGTTAAATATGAGGGTACTTAGAAAAAAGCTCGTGGAAAAATAGAATTAAAGGATAATACACATCCTTCCATGAGTTTTTTGAAGACCCCGCATATATTCACATTCTCATGAAAGTTCCCCAGAACTTTTTCATTTTGCAAAACTGAAACTGTATACACAATAAACAACAACCCTTCCCCAATTCCCTGGCTACCTTCTTTCTACTTTCTGTTTCTATGAGTTTGACTACTTTAGTTATTCGTATAAGTGGAATCATACAGTGTTCGTCTTTTCATGACTGGCTTATTTCACCTCACATGAAGTCCTCCAGGTTCACCCGTGTTGTAGCATGTGACAGGACTTCCTTTTTAAGGCTGAATGATATTCCATTGTATATATGTATACCACATTTTGTTTTGCT